CTGAAGTAGCATTATGTATGTGTATGTCTGAATATGCGTGTGTATGTAGGTGTGTTTGTTTTGTGTGTGTTCATCAGTGCAAACAGTACAAGGAAAAAAAAACACAAATAAATGAAAAAGACACCCAAGCTTTTCACAGGTTTCTCAAACCTTTAGGATACAATAAAAAGCCCTAAAATTAAAAAGAAAGGAAGCGTCTCAGCTTATTCTGTACAAACAAGATACGCGTGCACGCGCACACACACACACACACCCCAATGGAAAATGACAGCCTAGTCTCACTGACGGATACAGATGTAAACTAGGGGGCAAACCTCTTCAGAAGTGGGTGAAAGAATACCAGAGTCACGTAGGGTTCATTCAAACAATGTGAGCAGACTTCCAGTTTTAGTTTCAGCATCAAAAGATCTTGGAAGTTGTCGCTCCCAACCTTCCAATAAGAAAAAGTTGAACAAGTGGAAAATCAATTACTTTTCTTGGATCTGTCAGAGAACTGAAGTTGTAAGGGGGCAAACCCCCACCTTGTAATCTGGAGAAACAGGCGACTCTAGAGAGTTCTGGTCAAGATCTGCTTATCTGGACTGTAGGAACAGATAAATGGTCATTTTGACAAATAGCTGGAGGCCAGGTGTGGACCTGGTGTAGCGTGAGAGTGAGAGAATCATGGGGGAGCCCCAGTCTTAGGGCTTTCCGATATCAACTGGGTGCCCAATGACTCGGTTTAATTCTGACAACCACCCAGAGTTAGTACAGACCCCTTCTTCACGTGCATGTCCAACGAGACAGCCCCACTTCAGATGCCAGCCACAAATGGGGTGCTCAGGCTACTGACACTTTTGCCAGCCAACTGCAAATTTGGGGTTCCCATGACCATCTTTGGAGATTCTACAATTTGCTAGAGCGACTCACGGAACTCAAGAAAACATTTTATTTACACTGGCCAGTTTATTATAAAGGTCGCAGCTCAGGAACAGCCAAGTGGAATGCATGCGTGGGACAAGGTACGGGGGTGAAGGGTAGTGCACTCTTCATGTCCTCTTTGTCTGTGACACAATCCCAGGGCACCAAGGTGTCCCCTAACCGAAAAGCTCTCTGAATCTCGTGGTAGTTTAAGGGTGTTCGTGGAAGTTTTATTACACAGCTTGATTGGCCATTAGTGATTGCACTCAATCTCCAGCCCTCCTTCTTTCCCCAGAGTTTGGGGTGTGGGGCTGGAAGTTCCAACCCTATAATCCTGTCTTGGTCTTTCTGGTGGCCAGTCCCCACCAGAAAGTCATCTAGGGGGCCCCTGTCAGGAACCACCTCATTAGCATACAAAAGATGGTAAATTCCAAGGATTTTAGGAGCTCTGTGCCAGTAACTGGGAACAAAGAGCAAATGTTTATTTTTATTATACCACAGAGGGACCCCACACTTCCATGGGCTTTACCTCTGGAAACCCCACTAGGTTCTCACAGTGCAGAGCAGACAAAGCACAGCTTGTGGGTCTGGTGAGGGAAATGGGAAGACCGACGCCTGCAGAATTTGTCCAGAACATTCTCCACAATGAAGGACTACTCTCTGGGGATGAGACTGTATCTGAGTTTTATCCCACCCACGGGAAGGACATTCCCTCACTCCAGGAATCTGAAGTCCCTGGCACGTGCAGCTACAGCAAGTATTAAATACAATCCACCCGAGAACCACAGTAACATAAAACTTCACGTTAAGGGTCCATTTACCTCAGTTGTTACTCAGTACATCATGTCCAACTTTCAACAAAAAAAAATTACAAGGCCTATTAAAAGGCCAAGAATGAAAGGACTGATGAACTTGAGATGGTTCCTGTTTGTATAACTCACCACAATACAGATTAAGAACAAATGTATCTGATTACTCAAGTAGACACTAGAAAAACATTTCATAAATTTCAGCCCTTATTTTTTCTTTAAGAAAATTCTCAGAAAAGTACCTCCCAACTCAAGAAAGTATATCTACCAAAAATCCATAACAAATGCAAACATAAAAATATTCTCAGTGAAGTCAGGGAAAGACAAAATTCCTGACATCCCATTTTCCCCTATAACATTATTCTAGAGTTTGAATGAAAGCAATAAGCCATCTAAAGGAGATGAAATATTACAAAAGAAAAGGTGAGAGTCATTCTTAGTAGAAGATATTTTTGACCATCTGGAAAAATGAAGAAAATCTACTGAAAAACTATTCAAACTATAACTCAATCCAATTAAGTGAACAACAGCTAGGTGGTCAGATAAATACACAAAAGCTGTTTTCTTTCCTGTACACAAACAACAATGAATTTGAAGGATTAATGAAAAGATGTATCTTCTTCAAACAAATGAGATGCACAGGAAAAAATAGCCAAGGCAAATATAAAGAAAATTGTGTAAATTTATAAAAGTATCTTAAAGAAGGTCTGAGTAACTCAATAAAGCAAATTTTTAAAATCTCCCCCCAAAAGTATCTATAAATTCAGTCCTCGATAAATTAAATTCTAAACAGTATTTTTATCAAAATTGGCAACCTATTTTTAAAGCAAATATTTTTTAAAAATCATAAAAATGCTGTAAAAAAAAAAAAGTGAGGGACACATGCTCTATCTGCTACCAAAACATCTTAGCAAGCTAAAGTAATTTAACAAGTGTGCTGTTGATGTAAAAATAGACAAACAGATTAGGAAAACAAGAGAGTCCAGAAACGCAATTACAACTTGAAGGAAAGTTTGTGTGCCATGAAGGTGGCCCTGAAAATCAGAGAAGGCTCATAGAACTGACTTTAAAAACTGGGGTTGGCATAACTGACTATATACATTTAGAAAATTTTGAGTAACAGTCATCCTTCACATTATACACACAACATTAAACTGCAGATGAATTAAAGATCTGGGCATTAAAAATTAGATTGGAGGACAATACAGTACTTTTATAATCTTGGGATGGGAAAAAAAGGGAGCAATAAACAAAAGAATCAATAAAAGAAAAAAGTGACTGATTTGACCTTGTGATAAATTTAAAACATCTGTTTGACAAAAGACTCTGTAAAGAAAGTTACAAGGTCAGATTCTGGGAGAATTTATTTGTAGCATACACGACAGTCATAGGATGGTGAAATCCATAATATTTCAGAACTCTTAGAACAGATTTTTAAAAGAAAAAAAAAGACTACCAATTTTTTTTTAATGTGGGGAAGGACACACAGGAAATAAAGAAAAGAAGAAAAATAAACAGCAGATAAATACTTGAAGGGATGTTCAAGTTTACTAGTAATCAGGGAAATGGACTGGAACTCTCAAGCAGTTGGATCTAAGATATTTTAACAGTACCGAGAAGAAACTGGCAATGAGTTCCTGTACCCAGTGTCCAGAACTGGCTGCGTTCCTATCTTTTCTGCTAACTTTTTATTCAGTGTCATCTTTAATCCCACAAGCTGCCCCTGTCTTTGCTCTGTATTTGCCCTTATGTTTTCTAGGCTCACCGTCTGTTACTTATAACCTTAGCTGATAGAAATTTTAAGGGATTTTTAACAGTCCAGAAAGCCACATATTCTACTTGGATTCGTTTCCTAGGGCCACTGTAATAAACTATCATGAACTGGATGGCTTAGCACAACAGAAACTACCATCTCCCAGTTCTGGAGGCTGAAAGTCTAAATCAAGATGCCACCAGGGCCATGCTCCCTCTGAGCCCTGCAGGGACAGGATCTTTCTTTTGCTTCTTCCTACTTCCTCCTGGCTCCAGGAATTCCTTGGTTTGCGACCTCATCACTTCAATCTCTGCCTCCGTCTTCCCCTGGCTGTCTTCTCCTGGTGTCTCTGTGTCCTTCCCATGGCATTCTCCACATCATGTCTCCCTATTCTTCATAAAAGGACACCACTCGTATGGG